AGGATTTTCATATCTGAAAAAAATGTTGCAGAGATTGTTATACAGCTCAGGTTCATATTTAAAAGCATTCACAGTATTAACAAGCTAAGTGCCATAGTCTAACCAGTTGAAAAATAAACTAACGGAATCACAAAATATTTGAATTACTACTACAGAAATTTGAGGAGGTTTCTAAATAGAGGAAAAAATACTATCAAAGCTGACCACAAGTTAACAGAAATGAACAGCATTCCCTGAGAAGCTCATATGCTTAGTTCTTGAAGTTAACAGTGTTGCTCTAATAATTTTCAACTTCTGAGACAATTTAATGGAATACTGTCCAAGACTTGGTTAAGAAATTACATTCAGGAGCAGTAAAAATCTCAATAAACTGAATTTATTCACAACACACCAAACCAAAGATTTGGGTTTTGCCCCAATTTTATCATGAGCTAAGGAGAAAAAAAAATACAATATATAGTTTAGCAAATTATTTTAAGTGAGGCATCTTTACCAATCCTCTTAAAAGCTAACCCAATTATAGCTGTACACAACTGTGGGGAAGTCAGGGTCTGAGCAGTTTTATTCTGTACCTGACACAGCAGAGGCAAGGTGCTCTTCAGGACCGAGGTAGAAATGAAGACATAGGGAGTCTGTGAATGGTATACAACATAGCTGGGCTTATACTGGTTTGGTTTTTTATTTGGTGTTCCCCAGGCAACTCTAATCCAGATTGCATTATCCTCATATTCCTTAAAGGTGATGGTAACCTGACAGAAAAAGAAAAGTTTTGATTTACAAACACATTTGAGTATCCATAAAGATTTTCTTATCTCTTAACATCTCTCTTCAGAATACCCAAACATAATTTAGTACCACTGCTTGAGTAAGAAAAAAAAACACACTAAGTGTTGTAAAGACTGTATTTAAAAAAAATTTCCACAGAAAAACAATAACCTCACAAACTGGGATAAAAAGAAAAATCACTTTTCAAACTCTAATATTGCTTTGCTTCCTGTCAATATACATTTTTTGCTAAAGGCTGAAAATAGAAAATAGCTTATTACAAAAGCACTGATGTCTCTTTTGGGAAAATAACACAAAGATGTCAGTTTAGAAGGAGGGCTAGTGGCAATAATCCCAATATGTCATTTGGAGAAACTAAACTTTCAATCAACTTGTGAATTTAGACCTGAATATAATACCCCTAAAATATTGCAAAATTTATTATAAGAGAGTGATGTGAACAGCAGCTGATCGGCTGTGAGTGTGATTTGGATTTGTTGCCCTCTCCTGTTGTGAGTGGGAACCCACTGGGTATCACAGAGTAACACAGGTGATCAGCCAGAGGCATTTTCTACTCCCTTGCCCAAATGAAGTTGGTAAGCTAAAGCAATTAAAGGCTCCTGCAAACTGGGAAAAGATCTGATAAAAACCACTAACATGCTGCCTTTCTTGAAGCCAGTCACATTTTAAGACAAATCTACATTTTAATTCCTTCCAGCATAATTGTGAAGTTTCTAAAACAGATATGCAGTACATCTTTCCCATGTTACATGCAGGTTCTACCATTCTCAAATGAATAATTCCATTTAAATCTTGACTCAAACTGTATGGAACAATTATGAAAACAACATGTTGACACCAGAGCCGTGAAGCAAATTTAGAATGGATTTATTCTTACATTTTTCAAGGCTGACCGAAGCCTTCCTTTAAATGCTTTTTTGAAATCTGTTATGTCAAAATATTCCAAGTCTTCTCCTGTTACATGAGACAAAAAAACCCAACCAGAAATAAGATTTGCATGTACAAGAAGTAGTTTGGAGATGTTTTTAGTTTTGCTGAAACAAAATTAAGCAGAAAAAATTGAAGTTGCATTACCTTATACAAAAAGCTGTATTTTAATTCTGACCCATATTATTGCTATACAGAGAAAAGATTAATATTTAATTAGTAGTTACTCATATGCAATAATTGCTTGAGAAGTTAATGGAAAGTATTCTAAAACATTAAAGATAATCTCAACTGAAAAATTCATACTAGGCTGCAGTAAAATGTTAAAAATCTCTACAGAAAAAATCCAGATGAGACTACATTTGTAGTTAAAACATAGGATATGAGGCAGCAGAGCACTAAATTGCTGAGAATTGTGGGATTAGAGAAAGGAAAGACATTTTACCTGATTTTTTCATCTGGTAAACATGCCACATTCTTTTGTTTTGGTAGGCATGGTTGTCTAAGAAAAAGAGGAATTGTTCAATAACATAATGTATTATCATACAGGAATTAAAGGAACAAAAAATTTTACAGTACTTTCATAGACAGGTTACTTTAAAAAAATATTACTTCTAATAATGCAATATAATGTATTGACATTCTTAAACTACCATTCATAGCAATCATAAAACCCAAATAGTTTTTTTTTTTAATTGAAAGAGATTTGAAGTTCTTTTATAATTTGGTGAGAAGCTAATAAAGGGCATCCCTGTGGTTCAATGTTCAAGGAAGGGTTTTACCTAAACTGCCCAATGTAAGACATGTAGTCTGTTAGAAGAAACCTTGATTTTAACTATTGTTTAATCAAGTTGTGAATTGATATTTGAATTAGGAGTTACATACTTTAGTTGATCTTGAGCTTTTTGTAGAAGAAGTCATATCCAATAACATTCATCTAAAATGTGAAGTGCTTACCCCAGATGCATCTGCACCCCACAAGGATCATCACTATATAATTAAGGGCATTATGAACTTACTCGGAAAGAATAAATGTCATTTTAATTCACTTTTTACGTACAAATTATGTCTAGAACCGCTGCTTGCTTTATGTCTGCAGAATTTTCCTAGAAAGAACAAGAATGCATAGTGAACTACAGGTCCAGAGTGCCCAATAACACGGTTTATCAAGTCAAAAATAATCTCAGTATTGGTAGTTGAAAGGATATTGCACTGAAGCCCACAGCACACACACTCTCTCCAAAGGCACCACACCAGGTCCCAGGTTTTGTGAAATTAATAATGAAAACTATTTCAGCAAGGCTTAAATGTTCCTCTGCAAGAGGAACATAATCCTTACAGTGTGATGTGCAAGCAATTAGAAAGAAAGTTAATGGGTATTTGTGACAATGCAACACTGACTCATATTTCACTGTCAGGAGTTTTAACATGTTGGTTATTGCTTATTTATGCTGTACAGCATGAAAAGATTTTTAAGAAACTGCATGACACAATTTGTTATGGATACAAGTATTTCACAAAAAAATGCTATTTTAAAATATGGCATTTGCTGTCTTATGAGAATAACTTAAGAGTTTCTTTCCTGTAGTTTGATCCAGGTAAGCAATTTTTCAGTATGAAATTCAAAGGGAATCATACAAAAAGCTACAGAATTCAAGATGTATCAGTAATAACTGCGTCTATCTGGGTTATGATATTAAAGACTTCCAGTACACTAAAATCTAAATATTTAAATACTTCCTGGTAAACTAAAATCAGTGTCATATATTTTTTTTTTGCTTACAGCATGCTGAATGGAAGTAATTCTGGCCAAGGAAAGTTTAAAAAAAAAAAACCAAACAACAAACATTAAAAGTCTAAAACATATAAACTAAGTGTTATCGTTACCCATGCTAAATAGCTTTCAATCAGGGCTTTGTAATAAGTACACATTTCAATCAGTGCCCTTATTTTACAATTTAGAAATACACCCATTTTTTAAAGGTTTAACATACCAAGCTTTTATCTACCATATATAACTTAAGAGCTCAAAACATGTATTTGCATACTTAGTATAGATCAGACAGAATCAATGGTGTTACCATTGATTCAGCTTTACATTTTCCAGACTACGAAGTGCCATTTGAGACTGTGTTGTGGCCAAAGATTAATGTTTCTGGTTTTTTTTCATAATGCTTCTCATGCACCCTATATGTCTGACTGAAAGAGAAGATTTACCTCACAGAGTTGAACAACTTCTTGAGAAATGTTGTCCTTTATCTGGTGGAAATTTAGAGTCTGCAGCTGTGCCTCAGAGAGAAAGCCCCATTTCTGCAGCAACATCTTGATTTCATCCCTTGGGATTTTTAGCACAGTTCTTCGGATGTACTCAGCCACAGTTTCATCCATGATGGAACCACCTGGATGGAAACCTAAAAAGTTAAAGAGAATAAGACCAAGCCACAGGTAAGCTCAGGGGACTTGCTCCCTTCGAAGGTGTACAGAGCTGCACCTTGGCACAACTGGCTGACAGTGATGTCAGTCCTAAGTGTGGCACTACTACAGATTTAGACAGTGGCAAGTTAAAATACATGCAGTAACTTACATAGATACTGAATCACAGAATATCCTGAACTGGAAAGGATCCACAAGGATCAGAGTCCAACTCCCAGTCCTGTGCAGGACACCCCAAGAATCCCACCAGGTGCCTGAGTGTGTCGTCCAAACAGTTCTTGAGCTCTGTCAGGCTTGGTGTTGTGATCACTGCCCTGGGGAGCCTGTTCAGTGGCCAACCCCACCACAGGATAAAAAAAAACATGTCCTGATACCCAATCTAAGCCTTCCCTGACAAAGCTTCATGCTGGGATCCTGTCACTGATCATCAGAGATCACGGCCTGCCCTCCACTTCCCCTCACGAGAAAGCTGTACACTGCGATGATTCCCCCCTCAGTCCCCTGTTCTTCAAGCTGAACTGACCACGTCACGCCCTTAAAAGCTTCTCTTACCGACGGAGGCCTGATGCGAGCAGAGGGGTGCTGGGTGCCGCCCAGGGCTGTTGCTGTCTGTCCGGTCCGATGAGTGTCCGGACCCACGGGCAGCGGGCACGAGAGCGCAGAACCGCGGGACTGACCCAACTCGAACCGGATCCGACCTGACCCGGCCCGGCCGCCTCACGCTGCTCCCGCGCCCGCCTTTCGAACCGACCAATCAGCCCCCGCGCCCTGCCCCGTCTATCCAATCACGAGGCTCCCCGCCTGCAGCACCGCCCGCCCCGCAGCGGGGTGAGTGAGGGGCGGCCTCGGGCAGAGCCAACGGGAAAGGGAAAAATTCAGGGAAAAGAGGGTGTATAGAGAAACCCTCCTCTCCTCCTGCCGCCTTCCCTGCCAGCCGCCTGGCTTTGGGGGGCCGTGCCGAGCTAAGCTCGGGTCTGCCTTCTGAGACCCTCCGCTCACCGCGCAACGTCGTCCGGAGCTCCCGGAGAGCTTTGGAAGGGCAGGTTTGAGCGGGATCAAGGGTCTCTCCGTTGTGGCTGCCGTAAGCTGCTTTTCCTGTGTCTGTGTGTGTCCCATTGTTCTTTAAGGCCTCCCGGGAGCATTGAGGAGCTGCGGACAGCGCGGGCTGGTTCAGTGGGACCCCCCCTGCCTTAACCTGGTAACAGCAGCTGCCCCAGCCCCGCACCCCATGGCAGAACCGTGCTACTAAACAATGTTTACTTTCTGCCGAGTGCTACCTGCCTTTCGTCATGGGATCGGGCTGCCTAAGGGGCCAGAGCCTGTCTTTTCTAACATGGAAACGTGATCGGTTTGCTCCCTTACTTTTTGACGGGGGGGAAGTTGTTTTACAGTAAGAAAGAAGATTCTGATAGGTTCATAGAGTTCTTCGTTGGAAAATTAATGAAATGGAGATGAGATGGAATGAAGCCTGAGTGGATGCAGCTGAAGTACAAGAGCAGCTGGCAAAACAGGAATTTGGTGACAGCACCTTGTTCTTATGTAATTGTAGAGTGAGTTGTGTTGGAAGGAACTTCAAAGATCATCTTGTTCCAACCCCCTGCCATAGGCAGGGGCACCTTCCACTAGACAGTGCTTTAGTTATATGGTGTCTGTATTTTGTCGTTCTTACCTGTATATTCTGCAAAGACATAACAGGAAGAGACGGCTTTAGTAATCTATATACTGTGATATCTAGATACAGTAATCTAGATACAATGTTGTACTGTGCAGTGGTACTGACTGTATGTTATAATAAAAACATCCCACTAATCTTGCCAAAACTCTGCTGATATTTCTTGTATGAATATACCCTTAAATCATTACCAAGAAGTGAAAATATCTTCTGCTTTACTCAATCACCTATTTCAACCATAAATAAAATTGTAGAAATTAGTATTCAAGTTGGTGTTCCACCTGCTCTATTTTGTAGGATTAACACCTTCTTAATTTGTTTTACTAAGTATGAAATGTATATGATATGTATTGGTATGATGTAGTTTCATCAGGTACTAAAAGCAGGTGAGCTAATTCTGCTGCTATGAGGGAGGTTAAATTGTTGGCAGAAAGTGTTCATGTAAAAAGAAAATCAATATGAATCTTATTTATCAACATTAAAAAATTATTCTTTAGGTTCAGGGAAAGTAAGTGCATTCTACATAATTAAAAAAATCTCAAACTAGACATAATTGACCCTTTTTGCATTTCCTTTCTAGTCTTCACAGATACGTTTCTAAATTATTTTCCCCCATTCTAATAAGTGATGTTGGAAAACCAGTGCATATTTTTGGAGACCGAAATTCAAGAGGTCATGAGTAAATTTTGTAAGTTTTAGCTAAGCTTGATTTACTAAAGTGGATTTTAAAATTTCTTGGAAATTCTGGAAAGTTTTGGGTCATTCTCAATGTGCCTAATCATAGCCTTAAGGACAGCAGCATAGACTGACACTTTAATATCCTGGTCTGGAAGCTGTTAATGATATTACTGAAAGGTAGAAAGAGTCCTGAGTTTTGAGTTCCCTTGGATTTTGAAATGGTGTGCATAAGCTGTGATTTCTCATTTCACTGATCACTGAGTATTCAAAACTATTGCCAAAATTCTTTGTATAGGAAAGAGCACTAGGCATGCAGTTCTGCTGAAGTGGCACGAATGATACCTTGAGGTAGACACCAGCCTGTTAGGTGTGGAGCTGAATTTTTTATGCTAAAAATTTGCACAATCTTAGAGAAAATAGGTTTTGAGTAAACAAAAAGTTGTTGAAATTGTAAATACTTTTTTCCAAACACCAAACAGAACAGTACTGTGTAACTGAGAATATGAAACTCCAAATTTTGTATTGCTCAAGTTAGACAGTGACATTAACTGCAAAAATGAATGTTAAATGTGGAGAGTAGAGTGACTTCAAGAGGAATCGTGGGGTTGTTCCCTCCCTGCTGTGATTCTCTGTTGTGGTTTGCACGGTCCTGCTGCCGCCTTGTGGGCCTCGAGTATTTGCAGCAAATGCTTGTGTTCTGTGGCGCTGTGCAAAGCAGAGTTCTGTGCTCCTGCTAAAGAGCTTCTTCATTAGTGATGGAGGTGCTTAGGTGCAATTTTTCATCATCAGGGTTACTAAACAAGCATTTGCATTTTGCTTTAAGAGATCGTTTTTCTGAACAGTGTGTGAATTCATGTGGTTTGGGGTTTTTTTACCATTGAAGGTTGAAAAAATTATGATTGTGTTCTTTTCAAATGCAAAATTGGCATGGGGAGAGAAATGAGCATTTTATCCTACTAAATTTTGGTCTCAAACATGAAATGCCCACAGTGTTCTTCTCTGCTCTTTTGAGTCACCCATTGGTTTCTGCCACTTCCTGGGTGTCTGCAGTTTTATTTTAATTCTGTGGTACATGTAGGTTCCTTTTGCAATTAATGTGAAATACTTAATGTACTGAACACACGTATTGATCAATTTTCAGATTAGGGATGAGTATTGTGTTTTGATAATTTATATTTTGATTGCTGTTAAAAAATTTGAGATGCATAGTGTGCCAAGATTGCTTACACAAGGAATTAGGTAATTATTTTTCTAAACAGAAATATTAATATTGGAAGTTCAGTATCATTATCAGAGAATTTCCAGCTTTAGACTTTTGATTTTTTAGAAAATTCTGGTTTATGTAGGAAACCATACAGCCAGAATATCCTGTATTTTCCCTACTTAAGGAGAAACCAGGCAGGATATGATACTGGAATGAAACAATCCCTTAATTATTTTTTTCCCCAGGAGAATAGCATAGATCTAGAAACTGGTTTAGGAAGTTGAAAGATTAATTATCTTTATCCATGTCTTCTATATTCAGAGACTAATAGTTTATGAAAATTTGTATTTTTAAGGTATTTTAACAAATCATTGGATACTTATGTAATGTAATTTTTATCAAGAAAGAAAAAATGGTACTGAATCTCATCAAACACATTAAAGGGCAGAACATTTCTGTGCAAACCAGTGAAATATGTCACTGCCATTATGTAAAGAGATAATTTCTTTACTTCTTTCCAAACATTCACTTCAGATACTAACATTTGCTTAGCATTTTGCAGTTCTAAAGCAATTCCTGTATGTTCTAAATATTGTTCTTTTACTTCATTTCCAGTATTTCTTGTACAGAAATTGTGTGTTTACCTTGGCTTTCTTTACCCCACATTTCTGTTAGCAGTTTCCTCAGAGCAATTTATATTGCTTATTCACAAATTTTTCCTGTGATTTTGTTTTGTTTTGTTTTCCCAGTATTCTTTTATAGATCAAGTCCCTGTGAGCTACCACCTATATAAAATTCTGTCCATTTGGACTTAAATTCTGGTAAGAGGGCCACTTGCAATTCTTACTTTTCATTAAAATGTTATTAAAAAGAAACTAAGGAAACCAATGTCCTTTCTTCGTACACATTGTTGTTTCTGTTGAAATTTTTGTTTGTCAGAGTCATTCCCCTCCAGCCAAAAGATTTCAGCTTTCCCTGCTCATTTATAGACCAGTGTCTAGTCTGACATTTCTAAGCATCAGTTTAATATTAAGCACTGGCAGCACTGCTCCATCATAACTTCAGAAGTGCTTAAAGCCTTCAGAGAAGCACAGAAAGATGTTTTGTTACTTAGTCCATCACATCCTACAAGAGCTGAGTGCTAGAACTTGAAACACTCTAATATTGAATGTTATTTAAAAATTTCAGGAGTACAGATCTATGAACTGGTGTGACAGTTAAGACCTTTGATTTGTATCATCTATTCTACAAGAGGCACCATTAGAAAATCCCTTGAAGTTGTTAGAAGGCTGTTAACTAATGAAGTGCACCATCACCTCTGCTTATGCCATTGGTGGCTTTCATCTATGATCTGAGAATACTTTTGCAAACAATGGCAGTGATTACTGTTCTTAGTGTAGAAATAATGAATCTTTCCTTGAAATGTTCTGTTTGACTTCCTGGCCTGTGCTGATGTGCATTCCCTGTTTCATTAGGACACTGCTGTTGCTTTCTCCTGAGACTGCCAGCTCAGATGACAGTTTTAGTAAGAGCAGGCAGAGGCTGAATGATGAAGAGCTTTAATAATCATCTGGGTTCACACATGTTAAAGTAACACACAGTCATTGAGCAGGTCACCCTCTCAGGGGAATGCTAACTCCAGAGCTATCAAAAAAGCTCTACTGATAAATTTAAAACATATTGACTTTGTGTGGCATGCAATCAAAAGCTGGTGGCAATAACACAGCAGGGTTCTTAATCACTTTGCTGTTATAGTCATGCTCCTGCTGTCATATTTCTAAAGGTTCATTTGTTAATTTGTTTAAAATAATGCTTAAGCAACTTGTACGGTTTCCAGCAACTTCTGTGCTGAGTAAGTGTAGTGTAATATTAGACTTCCAGATAGTATGGGGGAAGGTCTTTAGAAAAAAATCACTATAACACTATGTGAAACATATTCTCATGGTTCTCAAGTGGCTTTTAAATGTTTGTATTTTTAGAATTAAGTTTGCTTGTGGGAATCTAATTCTTGTTATGCTGAACACAGGATGGGAAGTACTGGATATATGAGTGTATGTGTCTCTTTAAACTGAATATATTCCTTGAGCATTCTAGGAAGAGCAGTGGAGATTATAACTGTCAGCACTGAATTTCGGGATTTTGCAGTTCTAAAATCTGGTCGTTGCCTACTTGTATTTGTCCAGTCTATCTATCAGGAGTATTAAGACAGTGATGATTGCTTAGTACAAGTTGTAGTGGTGTTTCCCTGATGTATTGCAACTGGAAAGGTGATCCCTTTGGGAGAAGGGGAAATGACAAAATGCTAAGTAAACAAACAAATCTCTCTAATTCAGTGGCAGTATGGGCCATAAAAATAAAATTTAGGAAGATAAGCCCATTTGTTCTGGTATGAACTGGACTTTTCTCCTCCCCTTCCTGGTGATCTTCCTGAACAAAGATGTCATCTTCCTTCAGCCTGTCATATGATGCTTTCAGTCCATTTCAACTAAAGAACTCTCTCCCCCACCACAGAACCCTGCAGGAAAGGGTGTTCCCCTTTAGTGTTCCAGAGAGAAAACGTGAGGGAAACCTAAGTGCTTCTTTGCACTATCTGATGGAGTGGGGGATTTATGTACAAGCCCAATCCCATTGCTTTTCAAAGGAGCACAGTGAAAGAGCAAGAGGCAACAATAGAGTTGCAAGAAGGGGCATTTCAATTCTTACTGGTTTAAAATAAATATCATTGTTTTGATGAAGTGATTAAGTACCGGTTTTTAAAGCATTACCAATGTCTGGATTAGGATTTTTTTAAAAAGTGTATAGGTAACTAAAAAAGATGCCCATTCTCAGAGTTCTCTAATGGAATAGCATTGTGCTTGCTGTTGTAATCTTTGTAAAAGGTAGAAAGAAAATCACATACACTCTTTAAAGTAAGAAAGCAGAAAATTGAAGTAGGAAGGTAAAAAGACAATTTTGAGTTTAGGAAAGATTAATGGTACTAGAGGGTCCCTGAAAATTAAAATCTCAGTTGTGTGCTTATGTCTGTGATTGCCAAGATGATAAACTTCTAGTTGACTGTTAACATTTGGGGTGTGTAGAACATCAGACATGTGCCTGGGTTTAATGACTGTAACTGTGTAATCTAAATGATATGCATTAAGCTGCATTTTAATCTCAAATATTGTTAAAATAACACTGTGATAATATCTTACATGTACAATCAGGCTTGTTAGTGACACTATTTTAATGTTGGCAGGTGGAAATTTTCTCAGATTCTTGTCCTTGTGCTACTAAAATCATCCCTAACTAAAGATGCATCCAGACCTGTCTCCTCATCTGCACACTGAAGAGTGTAACCTAATTATCAGTCTGCTCAAGAAGTGTCACAAGGAGGTAAGAAGTGTTGAGCAGAGAAAAGAGTGGGTGGGTTGGGGAAATGAGTGTCAGATAAATTAGTGATGATATTATATGATCATGGAGAGAAAACCCTCCTCTAGGCAGAACAGCCATGAAATACAGCTGGTGTGTTTTCACTGAAGAGCTTTTTGATGACTGCATATAAAATCATGCCAGTGATTTATTTAGAAAATCTAGCATACCTTAAAATTTTCTGTGCCACAGCTTAACACTTAGACAGCTATTTTAAGGACTGAGATAACTTCTGCACCTCTTAATACTGTGTACCCCCAAAAAAACAATAATAAAATCAGCTTTAAATGCCCTCTTTTTGTATGCCTATGACATTTCCACATCCAGCTGTCCCTGGGGCAGATGCTTCAGTGTGGTTATAAGCAGATGTGTTAATGGGGATCCAAATAGCCACATGCCTGATGTTCAGTGCTTGGAAAGCTAATTGGGAATTACTGATTGACTTCCATCTTCTTAACAGGCACCTATACAAGTATGTAAAATGCTAAATAGTCTTCAGGCTTCTCCAGGCTCTTCATTGCTTCAAGATTATGGAATCGTCATCACTTGTTTAAAAGCCTTTTTAGAAATTTGCTTTGCCTACATCTTCTGCATCTCTAGATGTGGAAGATTTACCCCCTGCATTGAAAGCTTTTTGCAGCATCATTGCAATGTTGTTAATTATTTTCCCAGTATATTCTACATAGATGTTCTGCAGAGATAATTTTGCTGTATTAGTGCATTAAAAAGTTAAATTTCATAGTTTCTACTGAGAATAAATATATTTAAATATGAAATATTAAATAAATATTTAAATATTCACTATGAATGTGAAAACTCTGATTTACACCGCTACATGCAATCTACAATATTTTCATATTTTCACCTCCATGCTTAGTTGTGATGCTGATACTTTTTTCCATTGCAGTTAGATTCTAAGACAATACAAATGTTAGCTTTACTGTTTTGAACAGAATTGTAATTTTTTCCTTTCAAAAGCCATTACAGGGTGAGAAACAAGGCTGATAATTTACAAAATATGAGAGAAAACATTTTATCTGAAAGAGGGGGAACAACATTTTTGCAAGATTTTAGTAGCCAAAGTAACACATTAAAAAACATTTTTACCACCCTTTGTCATGATTTCTAAATTACAGCAATGAAGGGAGCAGAGTTTTAATATTAAAATTCATTTGCAGGGAGTATATTGTGCTGGTTTTCTTCAGCAACATGTAATTTGTTTTTGTTGGCACTTGGAGTGCAGTATCTTGAAACATAAACACAGTGCAGTCTGTTGCTACCATGTCATAGGTGCTACGTCCCATTCCACTGTTCCTGTACAGAACATCTCCAAGCTTTTAAACTTAAAGTTGAATTAAATGTAGGAGTTACACTTTTCATCAGAGTTCAGAAATTTTAGTTTGCCTAAAAATGCATTTACGTAGTTTGAGAGATTGTAGAAACTTTTGTCCTTTCATTTTTTAGTTTATTTTTTTGCAACAACTTTAATGTGGTAATGTAGGTAAATGTTCAGTAGCTAGGATTAAGTGAGAACTACATGTACATTAACTGCTATAGTATCAAAGGGATTGCCCAATGACTATCAGTTAGGACAATAGGCAGACTGTAAGCAATATAAAGTGAAAGCGTTGTAATTGTTTTTTCATAATTGTGAAAATAAATCCAATTAGGAAAGAAAATACATTCAGACTTGTCCTGCACACATAGGGGGGCTTTCTGTGATTTGAGTAGGAATGCAGCAGTATTGATTTACTGCTTACAAGTAATGAATGGTTGGCTGGCTTTTTGTTTGTGGTTTGGTTATTTTTGTTTTAAATGAATGTCAAGATAGAAGTATCATGGACTTCTGTGATGTAGCTCATTAGACTGCCTTGAGAGCTGGAACTAAAAGGTGCACTTGAACTCCTTGGCAGCAAATGATTCAGAGGAATCTATTGTCAATCTAACTTATGAAGGGACAGGGAACAGCAATAATAGTCATGCACAGAATTATATTATCTTGGTTTTGTTTGAAGCTCATCTTTACAAGAAGAGAAATTACTTTTGTCAGTCTTGTGCTCAGCTGGGAGAGGATGTTTGTGCTGGCAGTCTCAGAACAGAAAGGTTGAGGATGACTTTGTCACACTTAGTTGAAAGGGAGCAATACTTTTTCATTTGAAATTCAAGGGGAATGTACTGAAATATTCTTTTTAAATTGAACCCACTGAAATCTGAAGTCAGTGATCTTAATGAGTTATTGGTGACTACTTGCTGTTATAATGCCAAAATGTCCCAAGAACCTTCATCTACTATTTAAATCATCATTCCTGAGGGTTGAAAAGCATTATTTTTTTAATTGGGTGTCCATTTTAACAACAGCCAATTTGATTTACTTTATCCCTAATCTAGAACATGCCCTGTATATCAAGTTTTGTATCTAGTGAGGTTAATGGGATTCCTATTTGATGTCATTTTTTTTTTTTAATAACTTCACTCTGGTGCCAAGTATGTACTATAAATAGACAAACTTTCATAGGTAGCAGCTCAAAGAAATGTGTATTGTCTTGCAGTTGTAACACTGTAATAGGTGTAATATATTTTTTGTTTCTCAAAAATTTTTGAGAAACTCATTCTTTGTTTCCCTTATAATATCAGCCAAGAAATGGATATTTTAGGCATCTGGCTAAATAAACATAGATTAAACCCACTGTATGCACTGCTCAGAGTGGATTTAGCTTGAGTGTTCACCTTGTAATTTAACATGCAGGTATGCAAGTAGAATACAAAATTAAATCTGTATTAGCTGGAATGAAAATGTTGTAAAAGCAAGATCAGTGAGCAGTAAAGTGACCACTTACTCTGTGTAACTGCTTCAGAGTCATCTGATGCCCTTTATAAATTGCAGAGGTATAAACAAGCTAATTATAGCACTGCTATGGTTAAGTGTTTGTCATAAACTTTATTAACCCACTCCTACTTCAGTTGTGTTTTGTTGGCCAAAATCTTGTTCATTGTTTGAATCCTTAAAGGTGTTCCTCTATCGCTTGTATGAATCCATCCAGCTGCTGGTCAGCTGTGGAAATGCACATAAGTTTCCCTCTGAAATATGGAAGGGACTTCATTTGCATCGGTTTTGTTCTTGGTCTTTTTAATTCAAATTCATTAGCTGTCTGCAAGATAGGCAAGCTGTCACCATTCACTGTGTAGTTGCAAATATCTACTAAGAGCCACCTCCTTCAGGTCTTCTAAATGACTTGGATGTTCTGCTGGCAGGTTCTGCCATGAGATTCTGTGGCATGGCACAAGCATCCCCCTGAAAAAGTCCTCCTACAACCACGCATTCTGAGAGTGGTTTAATGCCTGGTAGTAAGGAATTGCTTTAAGAAATCCTGGCTAAGAGGACAGATTTTTACGGTGAATACCATCATGTTAGCTGTGGAGAGCCCTCATGAGGACAAAGCCTGCAGTTTTTTTGAAACTACAGAACACTTAAATGTACAGAAGGCCCACAATTGAGCTGTGCCATAAAAATGGTAAATGCATCTTACTTATTAACCTCAAGATCCAGAGAGATTTTTTTATACTGGTTCTAATGTTCCAGTCAATTAAGCCTAGTGCCTGCATCTTCTGGACTAACACCACATTTTTCAGGTAGCTGGGATAATGGAGCAGTGAATCCTTTGCCACTCTAGGTCACAAAGAAATGATGAAAACTAATGCAGGGAAGACATTGTTTCTGTATCACAACCTGGAGTTCAGAATATTTATTTTTTGTACGTTATTTAACCTACTGTGAGTGAGAGCTGGGACTGACTTCTAGATCAATAAAATGTATGTTCTACATTTAAACAATAATTTCAGCTTAGGTGTCCTCCTTTAGTTTGGTTGTACATGGTGAGTACCTTCAACTTTCAGCAAGGCAGGGGTGGCTCAAGTGAGTTCAGGAGTAGCTCAAACCTCTGCCTGTGTGGGGAAAAAAGTTACCAAACACCACTTTTCACAAGAAAGGGAAAGGAGAAGAAGACCAAGATATGTTGAAAAATACAAATGAATTTAAATAAATTTAGAGCTTCAGAGGAAGAAACCTTTTAATTTTAATTTTTTTCTCCTTAACTCATCAGCACAATGTTTTGAAGTTTTTTGGCCATTGCAATGATATTGACCGTGAGATGAGGAAGTGCTTAAAAAAAGAGGTAAGCAGTAAATTATAAATACTGTGTATTAGATGCTTAATAAAAAATGGGAGAGAACAAGACTTGCTTTTTACTAAGTAGTACAAATCAATAAGTGTAAGTACATTCTGCTTTGGGCACTTGACACCAAATCTAAACTTTTTAAAATAAATTTGTCAAATAAAATCTGGCATTAACAAATGGCGGGGTGTATTTTTTGATATGCAAAAATAGGCAAGCACATTTTAATAAAAGAAATATTTCAGATAGGAACTAACACTTCTCAGATTGCTTCTGACTTTTTTCTTAATATTTTTTAGTAGTGGTATTTGCACAGAATTTAATATATGAAAAGATATGAAAATATCTGCAGATATGAAAGAGTGAAGACTGTGGGAGTTTAAGTGGATTAACTGTTTTAATGGGCACATTTTCAGAAGAGTATTCTTTATATTTATGGTGTGCTTACATGACAGAACATATAAATGAAAATTTTACACACTTTTTAACTTGAAACTGTACTTTCCAATTTTTACATAAATTTCACCATACTAAAAAGTTTCTTTCTACATAATCTCATTATTCTTATTTTTTCTTCCATTTAAGCCTTTACATTAAAGGAGTTCTTGATGATTATATTTGTCTGCCTTCTTAAAATGTGCTTATATTGATATGCCATTATTAGGAAGCTCCTGAAAGGTTGTTCACGAATATTGAATAGGTACAGATGTAGCTTTTAAAGATCTGTTGTTCTCATTCTACATAAAAACATGGATGCGTTATTGAAAAATTAAATATTGGCAAGGAAAAAGTTGAGCATTCTGTAAATGTTAAGTAATGTTTCAGGTCATTATTTCAGTTACAGACCAATCAGTATAGTGGATGAAAAACTGCAAATCCTTTTCAAAATCAATTTCTTTACTAGTTTATTACATTGCATAGAGAATTGAATATTTGTGGCTTACTTGGGTTTTATTCTTGATACCAATTACTAAAATATTGAACAAATATATGCTCTTACGTAAGGACAAGAATAATTTGCTTCTCACGAAATACATATCAAATGATGCATTGATTTTTAATTTTTCATTTATTTGAGCCATGAAAATGTTTCTTTTTTGTTTGCAATGAAAGAAAGGCTCTTAAAACTTTTGCTAGTGCAGGGGTATATTTGAAAGCACGGTGGTCTTATACATGCATCTTAACTGTGAAGGTTTTCTCAATTTTACGCTGGAGTCATGCCTCTGTTTGGATTCTTGTTTAAACCCATAAAAATCCCCTCATGCCTTACCCTCATTCAATCCGAATTTGCCTTTGTTCCTTTCATCTTGGTACCCTGCTTTATCGGTGCATATAATTAATGACCAGGATCAAAAATAGACCAAGCCTGTGATGACAAATTCATGTTTCAGAAGGCAGATACACATTAATCAGTGTCTTGTAAAAAGAAAAGAGCCTGACCTGTGCTCTAGAATAGCACCAGTGCAACTTTTTCTTCCTAGTTCACGTGTGAAGTGTAGCTGCTGTATGTTAGATCACTGTATAATTAAGTTCCTTCTTAAGATTAACCGAATATTCTTTATTAGAATGTTCTAATACTCTTCAGCTTAATAACCCCAAACTTAGAAACATGTATTTCAAAGCAAAAATGTTAATTTCAAAGTAAAAATATTAATTTCAAAGTAAAAATGAACCTATACCTAGATATTAACAAGCGCTGTATTTCTAACACATCAGTCAAATATATTGTTTCTGTTCCTGGGTAAAAAATGTTCTCTACAATATTAAATTTGACATATCTGTTTAATGATAACAGCTGATCTATTAATTTCCTTGTCTGTCTTCCAGTATGAAGAAAACAGGCGCAGAAACTGGGAGAAGCGACAGAGGATGATTAATGCTCACAAAGCCTCAGAGAAGTGAGCTGTGCAGTGGCTGGGCAGCTGCAGCTCCACTGGGACATTCACTTGGAAGCTGAAAGAATACTTGTGTTTCATCACCAATGTCCAGCCTGTGGTTTGTGAAATGGTGACAAAATAAATGCATCTAATGCATATTCATTCCCAACAAGGCAAACAATGTGAAAAAATAAATACAATACATTGCTCACAACCTAACTTAATTTTTGACCTCTAAAAGAAAACTACTGTGGCAAGTCTTTGTTCTGGCAATTTTATGACTGCTAAGTAATGAGAAATTGGTGTGCATGAGGTACTATATGTTCAGGTCAGCTGTATTCCCTACTTTGTACTGAGTTGCATTTTTTTCCTTGTGTTTAGCAGTTTCTCTTTCATATCTTGGGTTTTGTAGGATTTTTTTTGTTTTGTTTTTCATTGCAAAACACTAAATTACTCTTTCCACTGCTTTTTGTAGTGTTGTGATAACACTTCTTAAATGGATTAGGAAAAAGAAATTTTAAACAGATGTGGCTTGAAATTGGAAATTGCCTTTCAAGGAATAATTGGAGCTCTAGTATTTTTATTGGAGCTAGAAGGATGAAACTACTGTCTTTAGCTGAGAAGATTACAAATCCTCCCTGCCAACCATATGTACAGTGTAGACTGTTGTAAGACAATTTGTTCATCATACCCAAAGCAAGTGGCTTTAGAAATTCAGAATGGAACATTTCCAGGGATTTACAAAGCTTCCCCTTGATTTTTGTTGAAGTACGATCAATGTGTACTGAGTGATTTTTGAAGAGGAGTGCTGCCAAAAATGCAAGCTAAAGTTCTTCCATTTTCTATGGTACAAAGGTAAAGTCAAGTTATGACTGTTGAGGTTGAAGCAAAGCTGTCACTGAAGTGAAAGAAAATTGTAACTTTCTCAGGCAAGTCAATGTGTATTGTGTTACCAGGTTGCCTTGTTAGCCTATAAAAGGTGTTTATTTGCCATCAAACTGCTGAAAGCCCAGAACAAGTGTCAGAATTGAGAGGATTTGATATCAAAACATACACTGGTTTGTCCAGTGATGGAGCTCCTCTGTGTGTATGCTGGATTCACCTTACTTTTAAACAATGACTCAATTCTGCCTAACAGCAAAAGACTTTTTTAAAAAATAAGTTTTGTTGAGCCAAATATACAAAGTATCTAGAAACCTTTTGGAATAAAGGTGCCTATTCTACAGTGAATTACATGGTTTGTTGTAAGAACCATTTTTGATACTTAATCTTGAAATTGGTACCTGCCCCTGGTTTTGGAAGAAAATGGTATTTTGTGAGCTGTTTTGAAGGATGAATTAGATAGGATAATTTTAGTTATTTTTCAATACCTGGATGGACCAATTAAACTGGTAAAATTAAGCCACAGATATTTTCAGTGAAAGTTCCAAGCAAAGCTGAGACAATTGTTTCTGCATCTTGACACACTGTTTGTGTTTTAGAACAAGTAGATGATGCAGTGTTTGAATTAATACTTGAATGGTTGGAAGTGGTGCAGCCTTTATTGGTACTTTCCAGCGTATTTTCAAAGAATACTTTGTAGTGAACTCCCCTGTCTGGGAACTCTGCATCCATGTTAATTCTTCCATTTGAGATGACACAGCCTACTTCAGGCAAGCTCTTAAATAGGATTTGTAGTCTTTAAGTAAATAAATAAATAGAGAATTGTTCCAGAGATTAGGTTGAGAAGCTGATAGCTGAGTGCAGAAGCACTGAAGCTTTTGTTTCTTTAATCAGCTTCTGTGAGTCCCAATCTTTCACACATCAACAAAATAAGAAACCAAGAGCCACTTAACACAGCTCATTAGTCAGAATTATGTTTGCAAAGATCAATGTGCTTAGTGAATGAAAGACCAAATGGCACATACAGTTCCTATTGATACTTCCAACTACATTTATTTATAAATCTATTTTACAGATCAGCTTTGTTTACCTAGTGAAAGTCTGATCATGGTCTTCCTTCTGTTTCTCTTTGCTAATTGCCCACTAGTAGTGTGATATGAGAGTGCCCATTGATTCCCGTGAGTTTTCTTTTGTTTGACAGAGAGTTCATGTTGCCAATTTGATCTTGAAGCTGAAAAACACTGGTATAATAATACTGATGATTTATCTGACAGAGAAAGGGGCAAGGGTGAAATAGTAAATGTGGAGTTTTTTTCTTGTTTCCTAAAGTGAGCTTGGCCGAAATAAACCTTATCTCTATAGACTTTGAAGACACTTTATTGCAATGTCATTTGTCTATAGGAGCATTATTCCCATTGTTCTTTCTGAAAGAGTGTATTTGAGAGAGAAATTTGATGTAATTTGTTTTGAATTGCATGTGAGAAGCTCATGGGTGTTTCATGTGGGAAAGTGAGGAAGAGGGAAGCAGGAAGGAAAAATGGCAGCTCTAGCCATAATGGTGAGGATTTTCTATATTGAAGTGCCATATAAGTCATACATGGACAGGAGGAAGACAGAGCAAAGGGAATTTTAACTTTCCAACAAAATCCCTCCAGTTTTACCAGAAACACGTGGTAACACTATTTGTAGTGTACTTTCTCATGCTGGCAAACAAAATGACATTCTGTTTTCCTTATTTTAATTTTTTTAAAATTTTTAGTAGAAGGAAAATTCTGCTGAATAGCAGCAGATTAGTTTAAGAACAGCAGGGTGAGTTCTTGCTCTGGTGTTAATCTCTTTATACAACAGGACTTGAATCTGGCACTCCTGTTAAGCTGCAGTGCTGAGTGTTAATATATTATGAATGTACCTCTCGTCTTTCCCTGTAAACTTTATTTGGTAACATCCTGAAGGAATTATGTCCTTTGTTGCTGATACAGACGATGTGTAGTTTATAGACCTTGAAGCAAAGCCTTGATTTAGTCGAGCTGACTATACAATTTGGGTAAGGACTAGTCCTGTGAGCTAGTTATCCCCTGTGTTAGTGGAAATCACTGTAATGAATATTTCCAATGTGCTACACTTTTCTGAGGCTCCGCACCTCATGTATAATGTACATTCAACAATCAGGCATTCCTGAATTTGGCAGTGCCCCTGCTTTAAAACAATTAAAGAAATCTAATACAATTTTTTTCTGATATAAATGAAAACACACTTCTGTGGAATACCTAAAAGGATTTGAACAACTGGAAAACTGATACCAGATTCTGGTAGTTGAGTTAAAAATGAATTATTTACATTAGTGCTTAAGCAAAGGAGATTCTCTACCTGGACAACATAATGGATTTTAGTGCTGCAACTTATGTTACACATTGAGTTTTATTAACATGGACTAGAGTGGAGTATCAGCAAATCTTAGTGGTCCCATTAGATTGTTTATTTTACAGGCTCAGTGATAACCATGTTGCTCATCAACAGAACCTGCCTTGCAGTACATGAAGGTCTACAAATAAAACCGTGAAAGTGAATAGTAAATTCACATCAGGTTCCCCAAACCTACTTAAATTGCTGTGTACCAAAAAATATATCAACAGGAGCAAAATATATATTTTGCCTGAAAATGGTTCTTGTGGACCATCATGCTTTAAAATTTATTATTTTGAACTATTTGGTGACATTTTAAAGGCTGGGAACTTTCATGTGGAGCTATTGCGTTAACCAGTGAGAGTTTTATTGGTATTTTAATGGAGACCCTTAGAAAAAACAAGATACATTTCAAAGATAAAAGTGAGCAGAAAAAATCTTTTGGGACATTTATTACCAGGAAAGATGTTACTGATGGCTTGACAGAACTCATTCCCAGTACAGACGTCAGCTATCCAGAACCTGGAGATTTGTTTCAGTTTGGCAACGCGTCAAATGCCTGGACACTGTGGATCTGTGTGGCTATAGGAACGCTGATAGGACCATGTCATCCCCAACACTGAGGTGCTGAGAGCATAGGCCGTGTTTTGTTAGCATGACACTAGCGGTCTAATTTTTACAAAACCTTTTGATTCAAAACTGTTCATGACCTTTGTTGCCAGCAGCCCGACGCTTGAGTTGTTCGACTTGAAGTAACTCTTGATTTCCCCTCCAGCCCCGGGCTGAGGCGGCTGCTCCCCGCGCTGGCATCACCGCGCTCCGGCTGTGCCACGATGCCAGCGGGGACTGCTGCTCCGTCCCGCCGGTGCTCCTGGGAAATCATTCGTTACAAACTGCCAGGAAGAACATTGGGAATGTTTTGGTATTTTCCCCGAGCTCTGGCTGCCGACAGGCACCGGACGTGATCGTGCCCAGACCGGGGCGGCGGCCGGTTCGGAGCTGCACAAGGCGGCCTCCGCTGCCTCGCGGGGCGAGCGGCCA